TGTCTGTCTGTCCGTCTGTCTGTTGTCTGTCTGTCTTTCTGTCTGTCTGTCTGCCTGTTGTCTGTCTGTCTTTCTGTCTCTCTCTCTTACTCTCTCTCTCTCTTCTCTCTCTCTCTTCTCTCTCTCTCTCTCTCTCTCTCTCTCTCTCTCTTCTCAGTCTCTCCCTCGCACACACATACACCCCCACCCCCACACACACACGCGCACACTTTCTTTTTGCCTTTTTCTCGCTCTGTGTCTGTTTCTGACTATCACTCACACAAACACGTCATGTAGATTCCTAAAACATCCCATTATTCTTTCAGCCACTCATTCTTACGCAAATGCACACCGATTTATTCATCTAGACACACACATACACTCTCTCTCTCTCTCTCTCTCTCTCTCTCTCTCTCTCTCTCTCTCTCTCTTTCTATCTGTCTATCTATATCTCTATCTATCTATCTATCTATCTAACTGTCTCTAGCAGTCTCTTTCTCTCTGTTGCTCTCTTTACCTGTGTGTTTATGTGTATGAATGTTTGTGTTTGTTTGTTTGTGTGTTTTAGGTATTACTTTCTTCCTATTGTGAACATACTGCATTAAAAAAGTATACTGTTGCCGGGTTTTTTTAAAATACAGATAGGCCAGGGAATGAAAGGATCAGAAAAAAGACAAGGAGACATATGTTATCGATATTTCAGTATTGGTTAAGATCTTTTCAAGATAATTTATGGTGGATTCTGAAGAGACGACACAATGATACTTTGGTCGATGGACAGCTGTCCTAGAAAAGATCAGCTGCGACGACGCTAATAGGTGTTTTTGTTGTTGTTTTTTTTAAATAGTTTTTTTAAGTTGTTTTTTTTTTTTAAAGTCTTTTAAAGTTGTTTTTTTTATACTGGTGCTTCCAAATTACTCAGGCTGTAAGTAAAGGAAGAGTTCGTCTATGCAAAATGTGGAATGGGGGAATGAAGGATACCCTGAGAAATTATAATAACTGAATTGAAAGAACGGCAGTGCAGGCCTACCACAGACAGAAAATAGCCTCTCCTCTCGACTCTTACGACATCAGAGGGTAAAAAAGTAAAGTAACATATATGTGTTTTACGTCCCCAATGACACAATTTAGATCGTTAAGGCGACAAGCTTCCGATCCTGCTTGTCAGGTTCAACCCGAGTTGAGAGAGATACAGTACAACATCCCAGGGAAAAGACAGAGATACTCGATGAAAATGTTTTTCTCAGTGGGAAATGTAATCGAAGCTTCATGAGATAGCAGAGGCCTAATCGTTACAGCACAGACGCTGATGATAACGCTATATCAGTAAGTTTACGCAGATTTGTGAATTTTTATCAAATTTTTGGTTTTTGGCTCAACACCTTTCATGCCCATTGAAGAACTCATTTGTGTGTGGATTTTTCTGAAAAACATTGATTAAAAGCACGTGTAAATGTTCGGCTACCACGGACTATTAAGCTAAGGAAATAACTAATCTTTGGCGGCTATTTTCTCACTAATTTTACCTCTAAAAACAGGTGACCCTACTTCCTTCATTCACAAATATCTCTACTTGTATTCAAGATAAATATATTTTTTTTCCAACCAAATAGAGACGAGTGAACAAGCTTTGAGATGATACCAATAACTCTACAGGCCAAAAAATTGACGAGAGCTTGATTCCACCGCGCTGCCTCACAAATATCATCACCATCAATGACTTCTTTCCCAGCAAGAGGGTAAGCGCCACAAACAAACCCTTTCCATGTTTCCCTTTCCTGGGCTAGCCTTTTGATATTATTACATATCTTTCCACTTTTCTTACTTATAAGACTGTAGGGAAACAAACTTTTCTTAACTATAAGACTGAAGGGAAAGAAAACCAAACTGTAGGCTTACAGTAAAACTGAAGGCAAATTAGCAATTGGGAGTTATGGAATTGCGGAAAGAAGGGTGAAATGCGGAAGGGGTGAGGGGAAATGTGTGAGCGTTTGTGTGTATAGCTGTGTGTGTGTGTGTGTGTGTGTGTGTGTGTGTGTGTGTGT